TTCTAAAGGACAGCAGAGAAAAAACATATGACAATTTTGACACAAACTTAGCCATTATACCACAAAAACAGCACCAAAGCCAGATCACTTAATTAAGGTCTCCAGAAGTTCCTCCAAAAGTCCTTAATTAAGAAAATCCTGGAGACCTTAATTAAGGTATCTCCTGAATTAAGGACTTTTGGAGGCTCTGGGCACCTCCACACGGCCATTCGCTCGAGGATCATCTCCAGGTGTGCGTGTCAGCACTATGCCACGTGAGTTGGCCCATTTCCGGAAAACCCCGGAGAACTCATGACCTCGATCTGAATGTATTCTTCCAATGTGGAAGCCGTCCATTCTGAGCTTGTGGATGAAGTCCATTGCCGTCTTGGTGACTTCTCTTGCAGTTTTGGTGATCATAGGTGCAGCCAGGCGGAAGATCTTGATGTCGAAGCCTCCAGGTTTGAGCTCTTCTTCTCCTTCTTTCTTTTCAGGTGGAGGCAAGAGATAGGGTGGCTCAGGCGGAGCTCCCCCTGGGACCAAGGCATCCCCTTTTTTCTCCCCCTCCTCCTTCTTTTACCTCATCTTCTTCAGCCCAAACTTCCATTGGATCTTCTCCATCTTTCTCCTCACCTGCCGCCTCCTCCTGACCTTCTTTCGCATTATCTTCATCTTTTTCTTCTTCATCTTCAGGGTATACCTCAAAGTGAGGCTCATTTTTCCTTCTGCTTTCGGAACTTCAGGATCTTCATCTTTTCTGATTCAGCTGGAACTGCCCATGTCAGAGTGCCAACCAACATCCATCTTGCGTAGAGACCTCCAATGTCCTTCGCTGGAATCAACGGTCCAGCCACATCCAAGGAAAGAACTCCTCCAACAGGATATGGAACTTTTCTGCGAGGATGGCACTGCTGCACAGCTTGTTGACATACTGCACAGTCTCGGCGATATGGAGTATGCCCATGGGCGATGTGTTCGTCCCAGCTCAGAGGTCGCAACATTGGGTTGCGCTGCATCACTTGTGTCGTCAGGGCTTCTGCAACCATCGCCATGACGCAAGGGGCCCATCTTGAAAGGTCTTTTGAAGACTTCACCTCCAAACCTTCTCCTGCTTTCTTCATTCTTTTGCGGTTGTTAACCTCCAGCCTCAAGTTTCCGCCAAAGGTAGTTGGTTTGGTAGCGGAGCCACCATATTGACCTTGCGCAAACGTAGTTTCTTCCCAGCCAAACTCCTTCTCCAAAGAAGCACACTGTTTGGTGTCCCAAAACGAGACAACTTCTGGCTTGTAGTCTTTGGGTGATGCTGGCTGTTCCAAGGTGAAGCCAACAGGGTTTGGATCTTTTCGCGCTTCTTTGATGTAGTTGGAGACCATGGCAAGGAAGATCGTGCGCCAGAGGAGGAGGTCATCTTCTTGAATCATAGTTTTTTGAGCTTCTGCAAGTCCATGGATTCAATATTCTCCTCCTCCCCAAGACCTGACTGGCCTTGGACAATCCGGTTGACCGGGCACTTTGTAGTGACGCAACACACTTATCGCTTTGAGCTTGTTCTCCAATGCAGCTCGAATCAGTGCTGCATAGGGCCCCGCATCTGTTGAAAGGTCATGATGTGAGCCTCTTTTGATGTCGAGCTCCAAAAGGGCGGAAGCTTGGCTTCACCTCCTTGTTGATGCCACGCACGGGCAAGTGTAAATCCAGAGTTTTCACCTGCAAACATGTGGACCATGAATCCATTTCTTTGCATTCTTTTTCTGGTTCTTCGGTTCGCAGGCAAAGTTGACCATGAAGTTGGCTCGACAGCTAACCTGGACTTTATGTGTTGTGGAAGACGTCGAAGAACTGGGTGCGTTTCTACCAGCTTTTTCATCCATTCAACTTCTTTAAAGGTTCTTTCTTCGACTTTCCCCAGGATTGCAGTCTGCTCCAACTCCTCGATCAGCTCAAGAGTTGTTGACCTTAACATTTGAGGGCAACCTCCAACTTGGATCGGCAAAATGCCGCGGTGTGGGTGTCGAAGGCAAACTCCTTCGCTGTTTCATTCGATTTTGCAGCCAAGCTTTTCAATGAGCAAACCGATCGGTAAGATCGGCTCCACATCAGCGCACCCTGAGACCATCACACCCCCAGGAGTCATTCGGAGTTGAGTTTGTTGACCATTCACAAGGGTAACATTCACAGTCTTGTAGTTGGCACATGATTCTCCTGGATGTAGTGGACGGAGTGCATGGGTGGCCCCAGAGTCTATGAGGCCTTGTGTTTTTTCCAAAAGAAAGTTGGCTCAACTTGAACACCTTCAACTTCAGAGAGTTCAGCTGTTGCTGAAGTCGGTCTACAACCTCATTCATCTCTTGGCTCGTTTGCAACACTTGTAGTAGAGGGAGAAGCGGTAGACGCAGAAGTGGTCAGGCTTTTCAACATCTTATATAGTCGTTTGTTCCAAAAGGTCTTTCATTGACGCCTGTTCTGAGCCTCCCTCATCCTCCTTTGTCTTTGGGCTTGATGGTGACTTTTCCTCCCCCTCAACCTTTTGAAGTCGTGGCTTTTGTGGAGAGGTGTCATTCGAATTCTTTGGTCTTGTGCATGCCGGCGACATATGGTCTGGGCAGCCGCAATTCCAGAATCTTCTCTTTTCATCTTTGACATCGTGGGGAAAGTTGCATGTCTTTCCCCTTTTGCAACCTTGGTCTGTAAGGAAAAATGACACTTCGGCTTTTCGTCCTTTCCTTCTCTTTTTGTAGGTGACCTTCCGGTCTCCTCATCTCCTTTCTTTGCTTTCGTTCTTTCAGCTTCCAATTCCCCTGCCGTCATGGAGAGGTCTGCAACGATGGGCTCCGTCAGTAAAAGCCAATCTCCAAGAATCAAGGGGCCATGCTGAGCTTCCCATGGTTGTAATGCTGGAAGATCTGGGCTGCCAGTGCGAATCGTTTCAACACCCTCCACCAAACCAGCATCATCCTTCCTTGGAGTCGTTCATGCGCTTTTGCATCTCTTTCATAGATTCCATCATCAATGCCATAAATTCCAATGACTTTTCCGTGAACGCAGCCGATGAATCGCCAGCTGACGTCTTTTCACCTTTGCGGGGGTCTGCAGCTTCCCTTGATCTTTGAGAACCTTTACCGCTTCCATCAGGAGGTCTTTCAGCCTCCTTACCTGAACCGGTGGTCACACCGACAGCCGGCCGGTGTGAGTTGAAAGCCTCCTCGGCCTCCCTTGGGCTTTTTGGGGGTCTATCGGCCTTCTTTTTTGGGGGGTCTTTCAAGCTGGCCATCAGAGCCATTTGGAGTTACAAACCGCTGATCTTCATCCAACTTTTGAAACTCCAACGCGTCTACCCTTTCCCTCAGGAGCTGATTCTCCCTCAAAACTTTTTCCAAATTCCTTCTCAATTCTCGATTTTCTCTATCTACATCCATGCCTCTATCATGTCCATGTCCATGAAAGCCGCTGGACCCAACCCGGCCCTCCTCATGCATTCTTCGTTCATCTTGTTCAAGGAAAAGAGGTCGTTGGACCGGAGGCAAGAATTGCCCAGGTGGCATCAGAGACAAGGGAGCTTGAGGGACATGTTGTGGATATAGCCATGGTGCTTGTGCATACAGTTCTTAGTTGATTTTCATCAAACAAAGGAGTCATGGGCGTGGACATGTGCGGAGGTTCAGACATCTTCGGGTCTGACTGAGGTGCTACGCTTTTTTCCACACTCCCAACCCCATGCTGTCCTTCTTCATCTTTCTTTTCTGGAGTCTTAAGGTCACTGGCTGCAGCTTTCGAAGTTCTTTGAAACGGCGCTGACTGCGGTGAAGGCAAAACACCTTCAGCAGCAACTGCAACCTTAGTCTCCTTAGTGGCTCCAGGTTCCTCAGGCGGATTTTTCAGAGGGCGGATTTCCTCAGGTGAGGCAGCTTTTGAAGACTGGGGACCTTCAGTTATAGCTTTAACCCTTTCCATATTCTCCTCAGGCGGTATGGGGGTCTCAGCCTCCTTAGAATCACGTTCAACCTTCCCATCTTCTAACGCTACTTCATCTTTCCCCTGTTGATCCAGCCTCCTTTGTGCTTCTTCTATTTCCCTTTGGCCTTGCTCAAGCTCTTTCGGGGTAGCTTTTCTTCTTTGCATCATAGGTTCCATCTTTGCAGGGGCAGGCTTTGGGCTCATAACCTGGTGAAGCCCTAGTGCTCCACCAGGCCCAGCCACCTAAAAATCCCAGCCTTCTTCGGATCCAGGCCTCCGCAGCTGCTCGTTTTTCTAGTTTTTCTCCTTGCTTTGCAGCCCTATCTGGCGGGCATAGTTTGGCCACGGGGCCCTTGAAGAAAAAAACAGCTACGCATCAGGTTGAGTTCAGCACCTGACAGGTTAAAGGATTTGAAATGTGCAAATGCAAAAGGAAAGGTAAGGTGATGCCACAACAGCAATTATTATCATTATTTATATATTATTATATTATATTATATATACACACACCCAAAATGGCACTGCATATATAAGATATATAAAGAAGATGGGACGTTAGATAGATGATGGTTAAGGTATGGCTGCTGGGGTGCTGATGGGTGCCCTAGCTTCAGACAAAGCCATGTTGTTGCCGAAGCCACATTGAAAGTCCATAGGCATTCCTGGCTGGGATGCTGCGATGCCATCTCACCTAAATCTGCTTGGTTGATGTTCATGGCTCCAGCACTCCAGGGGGTGACACTACGAGGCTTACAATAGGAATGTCAAGAATCAATGATCATGCATTATCAATCATTATCATGCATGATCCATCGTGGGAATCCTTCATCCACCAACATCATGATGGATAAATCAACCAACATCCTTCATCCATCAACATCGGATTACGTGCAATTATATAGTAATTATGCGTATAAATTATTTATATATTATAATATATATATATATATTATACTTATATTTATATACACAATCAAATTAACATCAACCAATATTAACCAACTGGCATATCTTTATTCATCATTATGAATCAAATAAAACTATAATTCACACCTGGATTTTTGCAGGAAGGCAATGTATCGATGCAGCCCATTGGCCTGACCTTAGCCGCGGACCTGGGAAAGCTGGCACCCAAGGTGGCCACCAGCGATTCGAGCCTTGGCTGGGGCTCCAGTTCCACAATGGACAAATCTGGATTCTTTTTTAACATAATTCAAATGGATCTATAGAATCTCTTTAATGTAAACACCGGATTAATAACCCCCCCTAATAGGTCAACAAGGTCAACAAGGTCCAATCAGGACGTCAAAAAACCACCTCCCGCGAAAAAAAGTTGTTTTCATTCATCCAAAAACGAGAATCATCAGATTCCTATGGGAAAAGATTAGAAAACCAATTGTAAACCATCAGATTCCTGGGAGGAAACATCAGGCAATGCAATGCTGATGTAGCTGTTGCAAAAAAAATGTGAAAACACTCTTCGTGGCTGGGTGGGGTTTTCTAATTGGGGGGAGCGTCGTTTTATTTGTGGGGGGGGACGGCGCTCAAGGGTGGTACCTAGTAGCCTTTCTGAGCGTCCAAAAACAGCATTTTTTAATTGGATTTTAATTAGAAATCGATCATTTGGGAAATGATTTGTTTTTCATTTTTGGCAGCATGAGACGAATCAAAATAGGAATAAGATAGGAAAGGATCACTAAGTAACCCTGGAAATTGTAACCCGAATTAAACAGTAAAAGGGAGGATTAGCAAATTAGTCCCACCAAAAATTTGGGGATCCCGGATGGGTTTCGCTAATTGGGGGGTTGGAAAATATTATTAGGGGGGAAAACAGCACCTAATTGACTTTAATATTGCCCCAAAATCGGATAAGAGAACGGGTTTCTTAATCCTGACTATACATGATATAGATTTATAATAGATGTTATTTATGCAGACTCCACCACATTTCTAAATGAAATTGTGTGAATCATGGATGATTTGCTTGGATTTTCCCATGTATACTGTATACATGTCCACTTGGTGATTTCCCAAGCAGGTTTGACTACTGGAGTGTCACTTCCATGTAATTTCTAGATTCTATTGTAACTTGATATGGTTTGGATGATTTCCCACTGGAAAATTTTTTTTCCCGAGAGCGCCTGCGAAGGTTTCTTGGTAAAAAAGCAGCCGTTATAATACATCTTCACACCCTCACATCTGCTGATCTACATCTTCACACCTTCACATCTGCTGAATCTTCACACCCTCACATCTGCTGATCTACATCTTCACACCTTCACATCTGCTGATCTACATCTTCACACCCTCACATCTGCAGATCTAGATCTTCACACCTTCACATCTGCTGATCTACATCTTCACACCCTGACATCTGCAGATCTACATCTTCACACCTTCACATCTGCTGATCTACATCTTCACACCTTCACATCTGCTGATCTACATCTTCCCACCCTCACATCTGCTGATCTACATCTTCACACCCTCACATCTGCTGATCTACATCTTCACACCTTCACATCGGCTGATCTACATCTTCACACCCTCACATCTGCTGATCTACATCTTCAAACCTTCACATCTGCTGATCTACATCTTCACACCCTCACATCTGCAGATCTAGATCTTCACACCTTCACATCTGCTGATCTACATCTTCACACCCTGACATCTGCAGATCTACATCTTCACACCTTCACACCTGCAGATCTACATCTTCACACCTTCACATCTTCTCTCGCTCTTCTTTCTATCTCTCTCTTAAGGCGGGGGCGGTGCCGCCGGAGCGCCACGAAACGCAACCCTTTCGCACGAAATGGACGTTGGACGTCAAAAACTGAGGTAAAATTGCGATTTTGAAGTATCCATCGCAACCCTTTCGCACGAAATGGACGTTGGACGTCAAAAACTGCGGTAAAATTGCGATTTTCTACCCTGAGTCTCCCAAATTAGTAAATTTACATGTTCCTTGGATTTACTTAATCGCACTGGAACCTTTTTTTTTGGTTGGAACCTAAATTATTAAAAATCAATGTTTTTTTACTGTATTTTTCTAAAAAGTCATTGTGCTATATTTAATTTTCTTTTGTTTTTGCTTAGTAACAATGGTTTTTGTTTGTAAATAATAAACATGGCAGCTAGATTGTTCAATAGATTTCCACAAGACCATTCTGTGACTCAGGTACATGTGATCACTGATAGGCACAAGTAAGTAGTGCCAAGCAGAACTTTTTGAAGTGATGTCAGAGCTTCTGCAACAAAAACTTCTACATGAGATCATGCCACAGCTTGTGCATCCACAATCATGTATATACTTGAGATACCTGTGCATGAGACAAGCCTGTGATATGTAGATCTTGTTGGGTTGAACAATTCATACTTGCGACATTGCTTATTGTGTTTGCTGTCTGTTGTAAGAATAAACATCATTCTCTGCTAGTTTGGAATGTATAAAGTTTCTTGCCTTGAGACCTGTGAGTCATTCATACATGCAGGATGGTGATAAATGTTTTGAATGGAGATATATGAACTTAAGCATTGATACAGAAAAATAGTGGATATATTATATATATATATTTATATATATGTAATTATGAATCACTGTTTGTCTGAAGATATCATTGCAATGATTCATAAATTGTACTTGTGGAAAACATATTGCGATATCTTGCCAGACAAGTTCTCAGGCACCAATGTTTTATGTTTTTTATGCAAAATGATCTCATGATATTTTGGTGAAATTTGATGAAAATTTGATGAGTTTCTTATGCATTTCTTATGCACTTCTTATGCACTTTTTATGCACTTTTTATGCACGTTTTATGCACTTTAAAACGTGCATAAGAAGTGCATAGGATTTCCTTAAAAATGTATACCTTTCTTATGCACTTTTTAAAGTACATAAAAAGTGCATAAGAAGTGCATAAAAAGTGCATAAGAAATGCATAAAAACAATACATAAGAAATTCATCAAAAGTTCCTCAAAAGTTCATCCAACATCCATGCATTCATCATCACCTTCATCATTGAAAACTTCAGCCATTCCAGATTTGTCAACAAGTCACCAGGTAACTCTCAATGTGACTCTCAAGGTATCTCTCAAGTGCTAATGATCATAAGTATCCCAAAGGTTTTGTTGACATTTGATTCAAGTCCAAAGGTTACCATGCAAAGGTAGCATCAATGCAGTTGTTCTGATAACAGTGCATGAGTTCACAGTGTCTCTCAAGTATCCCAGGTATCTCTCAAGTAACTCAGTAGAGAACTCTCAGAATATCTCAGGTAACTCTCAAGGTTCTAAGAAGAAACACACCTCAAGTACATTGCAATACATTCCTCCTTCCATGCATCACACTAGACAGTCTCTCATCAGATGATAACCATCAACTCAAGTAGAAGAACCAACTCTCAAGTACTGTGATGCAATGCCAGTGAATAGAAAATAGCATTCCATATTGCAGTTCTGAAAAAATGGAAACTTTTGCAAGAAAAACCCATGCAAAATATCATGAAAAAAAGCTAAAAATTAGGTATATTAGTAAATCAATTTAGGTTAATAAGTAAAAATTTAGGTAAAATGTAAATGTAAAAATTTACCTAAATTTCCACCTATTTTTTTACTAGTAAAAGTAAATATTTACGTAAATCCTTGAATGAGTAAATTTACTTATTTGGGAGACTCAGGGTAGTTAGTCTCCATCGCAACCCTTTCGCACGAAATGGTCAAAAACTGAGGTAAAATTGCGATTTTAGTTAGTCCATCGCAACCCTTTCACACGAAATGGACGTTGGACGTCAAAAACTGAGGTAAAAGTGCGATTTTGAGGTGTCCATCGCAACCCTTTCGCACGAAATGGACGTTGGACGTCAAAAACTGAGGTAAAATTGAGATTTTAGTTAGTCCATCGCAACCCTTTCGCACGAAATGGGACGTCAAAAACTGAGGTAAAATTAAGAATTTAGTTTTCGTCCATCGCAACCCTTTCGCACGAAATGGACATTGGACGTCACAAAAACTGAGGTAAAATTGCGATTTTGGGGTGTCAATCGCAACCCTTACACGCGAAATGAGGTTCGATCGCCAAAAACTGAAGTCAAATTGTGATTTCACGGGTCCGGTCTCTGTGTGTGAAAGTGTTTGTGTGTAAAAGCTTCTGTGTGTGAAAGCTTGTGTGTGTAAAAGTCTCTGTGCGTGAAAAGTGTTTGTGTGTAAAAGCGTCTGTGTGTGAAAGCGTTTGTGTGTAAAAGTGTCTGTGTGTAAAAGCGTCTGTGTGTAAAAGCGTTTGTGTGTAAAAGGGTCTGTATGTAAAAGCGTCTGTGTGTAAAAGCGTCTGTGGGTAAAAGTCTGCGATTGAGACATGCAATGGTTGGATTGAAAATTGATTCCTGAAAGTTTCTGTGTGCAAAAGCCTCTGTGTGTGAAAGTGTTTGCGTGTAAAAGCGTCTGTGTGTAAGCGTCTTTGTGTAAAGGAGTCTGTGTGTAAAAGCTTCTGTGTGTAAAAGCCTCTGTGTGTGAAAGTGTTTGTGTGTAAATGCGTCTTTGTGTAAAGGAGTCTGTGTGTGTAAAAGCTTCTGTGTGTAAAAGCCTCTGTGTGTGAAAGTGTTTGTGTGTAAAAGCGTTTGTGTGTAAAAACGTCTGTGTGTAAAAGCTTCTGTGTGTAATAGCGTCTGTGTGTAAAGGAGTCTGTGTGTAAAAGCTTCTGTGTGTAAAAGCGTCTGTGTGTAAAAGCGTCTGTGTGTAAAAGCGTCTGTGTGTAAAAGCCTCTGTCTGTGAAAGTGTTTGTGTGTAAAAGTGTTTGTGTGTAAAAGCGTCTGTGTGTAAAAGTGTCTGTGTGTCAAGGAGTCTGTGTGTAAAAGTGTCTGTGTGTAAAAGCTTCTGTGTGTAAAAGTTTCTGTGTGTAAAAGTGTCTGTGTGTAAAAGTTTCTGTGTGTGAAAGTGTCTGTGTGTGAAAGCGTCTGTGTGTAAACGCTTCTGTGTGTAAAATTAAAAGCGTCTGTGTGTCAAGGAGTCTGTGTGTAAAAGTGTCTGTGTGTGAAAGCGTCTGTGCGTAAAAGCTTCTGTCTGTAAAATTAAAAGCGTCTGTGTGTCAAGGAGTCTGTGTGTAAAAGTGTCTGTGTGTAAAAGCTTCTGTGTGTAAAGGCGTCTGTGTGTAAAGGAGTCTGTGTGTGAAAGCGTCTGTGTGTAAAAGCTTCTGTGTGTAAAAGTGTCTGTGCTTGAAAGTGTCTGCGTGTAAAAGCTTCTGTGTGTAAAAGTCTCTGTGTGTGAAAGTGTTGGTGTGTAAAAGCGTCTGTGTGTAAAAGCGTCTGTGTGTAAAAGTGTCTGTGTGTAAAAGCTTCTGTGTGTAAAAGCTTCTGTGTGAAAAAGTGTCTGTGTGTAAAAGTGTCTGTGTGTGAAAGCGTCTGTGTGTAAACGCTTCTGTGTGTAAAATTAAAAGCGTCTGTGTGTCAAGGAGTCTGTGTGTAAAAGTGTCTGTGTGTGAAAGCGTCTGTGCGTAAAAGCTTCTGTCTGTAAAATTAAAAGCGTCTGTGTGTCAAGGAGTCTGTGTGTAAAAGTGTCTGTGTGTAAAAGTGTCTGTGTGTAAAAGTGTCTGTGTTTGAAAGTGTTTGCGTGTAAAAGCTTCTGTGTGTAAAAGCTTCTTTGTGTGAAAGTGTTGGTGTGTAAAAGCTTCTGTGTGTAAAGGCTTCTGTGTGTAAAAGCTTCTGTGTGTAAAAGCTTCTGTGTGTAAAAAGTGTCTGTGTGTGAAAGTGTCTGTGTGTAAAAGCGTTTGTGTGTAAAGCGTCTGTGTGTAAAAGCTTCTGTGTGTAAAAGCTTCTGTGTGTAAAAGCGTCTGTGTGTAAACGCTTCTGTGTGTAAAAGCATCTGTGTGTAAACGCTTCTGTGTGCAAAAGCGTCTGTGTGTAAATGCGTCTGTGTGCAAAAACTTCTGTGTGTAAAAGTGTCTGTGTGTAAAGTGTCTGTATGTAAAAGTGTTTGCGTGTAAAAGTGTTTGCGTGTAAAAGTGTCTGTGTGTAAAGGCGTCTGTGTGTAAAAGCGTCTGTGTGTAAAAGCGTCTGTGTGTAAAAGTTTCTGTGTGTAAAAGCTTTTGTTTCAAAGTGTGTGTGTGTGTAAAAGCGTCTGTGTGTAAAAGCGTCTGTGTGTAAAAGCGTCTGTGTGTAAAAGCGTCTGTGTGTAAAAGGGTCTGTGTGTAAAAGCGTCTGTGTGTAAAAGCGTCTGTGTGTAAAATCGTCTGCGTGTAAAAGCTTCTGTGTGTAAAAGCGTCTGTGTGTAAAGGAGTCTGTGTGTAAAAGCTTCTGTGTGTAAAAGCCTCTGTGTGTGTGAAAGTGTTTGTGTGTAAAAGCTTCTGTGTGTAAAAGCTTCTGTGTTTAAAAGTGTCTGTGTGTAAAAGTGTCTGTGTGTGAAAGCGTCTGTGCGTAAAAGCTTCTGTCTGTAAAATTAAAAGCGTCTGTGTGTCAAGGAGTCTGTGTGTAAAAGTGTCTGTGTGTAAAAGCTTCTGTGTGTAAAAGTCTCTGTGTGTGAAAGTGTTGGTGTGTAAAAGCGTCTGTGTGTAAAAGCGTCTGTGTGTAAAAGTGTCTGTGTGTAAAAGCTTCTGTGTGTAAAAGCTTCTGTGTGAAAAAGTGTCTGTGTGTAAAAGTGTCTGTGTGTGAAAGCGTCTGTGTGTAAACGCTTCCGTGTGTAAAATTAAAAGCGTCTGTGTGTCAAGGAGTCTGTGTGTAAAAGTGTCTGTGTGTAAAAGCTTCTGTGTGTAAAAGCGTCTGTGTGTAAAGGGGTCTGTGTGTAAAAGCTTCTGTGTGTAAAAGCTTCTGTGTGTAAAAGTGTCTGTGTGTAAAAGTGTCTGTGTTTGAAAGTTTTTGCGTGTAAAAGCTTCTGTGTGTAAAAGCTTCTGTCTGTAAAATTAAAAGCGTCTGTGTGTCAAGGAGTCTGTGTGTAAAAGTGTCTGTGTGTAAAAGCTTCTGTGTGTAAAGGCGTCTGTGTGTAAAGGAGTCTGTGTGTGAAAGTGTCTGTGTGTAAAAGCGTTTGTGTGTAAAGCGTCTGTGTGTAAAAGCTTCTGTGTGTGAAAGCTTGTGTGTGTAAAAGCGTCTGTGTGTAAACGCTTCTGTGTGTAAAAGCATCTGTGTGTAAACGCTTCTGTGTGCAAAAGCGTCTGTGTGTAAATGCGTCTGTGTGCAAAAACTTCTGTGTGTAAAAGTGTCTGTGTGTAAAGTGTCTGTATGTAAAAGTGTTTGCGTGTAAAAGTGTTTGCGTGTAAAAGTGTCTGTGTGTAAAGGCGTCTGTGTGTAAAAGCGTCTGTGTGTAAAAGCGTCTGTGTGTAAAAGTTTCTGTGTGTAAAAGCTTTTGTTTCAAAGTGTGTGTGTGTGTAAAAGCGTCTGTGTGTAAAAGCGTCTGTGTGTAAAAGCGTCTGTGTGTAAAAGCGTCTGTGTGTAAAAGGGTCTGTGTGTAAAAGCGTCTGTGTGTAAAAGCGTCTGTGTGTAAAATCGTCTGCGTGTAAAAGCTTCTGTGTGTAAAAGCGTCTGTGTGTGAAGGAGTCTGTGTGTAAAAGCTTCTGTGTGTAAAAGCCTCTGTGTGTGTGAAAGTGTTTGTGTGTAAAAGCTTCTGTGTGTAAAAGCGTGTGTGTGTGTAAAAGCTTCTGTGTGTAAAGGCGTCTGTGTGTAAAGGAGTCTCTGTGTAAAAGCGTCTGTGTGTAAAAGCTTCTGTGTGTGAAAGTGTCTGTGTGTAAAAGCGTCTGTGTGTAAAAGTTCTGTGTAAAAGCGTCTGTGTGTAGATGCCTCTGTGTGTGAGTGTGTAAAAGAAAAGCGTGTGTGTGTGTGTAAAAGCTTCTGTGTGTAAAAGTGTCTGTGTGTAAAAGTGTCTGTGTGTAAAAGCGTCTGCGTGTAAAATGTCATAAGTATATGCACTAGTGTGTAAAATGTCAGCACACATGTGACAATACTTCACTAGTGAAATGTCTGCAAACGTTTGCACAAAAAAAGGTCCCATAATGCAGTAAATGGCACACTTTATCTCATTTTATTCTGGGAATACCCCACACAATCTATTAAAAAAAGACGTGTATGACACATGTTATTTTATTTTATTATGGAAAATCCCACATAAATGGCCCAAAAAAGCTCGGTACCATGATGCTGCGTATGACACATGTTATTTCATTTTATTATGGAAAATCTCACATAAATGGCCCAAAAAAGCTCGGTACCATGATGCCGTGTATGACACACGTGACAATACTTCACTAGTGAAATGTCTGCAAACGTTTGCACAAAAAAATGCCCAATACCATAATGCAGTAAATGACACACGTTATCTCATTTTATTCTGGGAATATCCCACACAAACTATCAAAAAAACTCGGTACCATGATGCCGTGTATGACACATGTTATTTCATGTTATTATGGAAAATCTCACGTAAATGGCCCAAAAAAGCTCGGTACCATGATGCCGTGTATGACACATGTTATTTTATTTTATTTTGGAAAATCTCACATAAATGGCCCAAAAAAGATCGGTACCATGATGCTGTAAATCACACATGTGACAATACTTCACTAGTGAAATGTCTGCAAACGTTTGCACAAAAAAAGGTCCCATAATGCAGTAAATGGCACACGTTATCTCATTTTATTCTGGGAATATCCCACACAATCTATTTAAAAAAAAGACGTGTATCACACATGTTATTTCATTTTATTGTGGAAAATCCCACATAAATGGCCCAAAAAAGCTCGGTACCATGATGCTGCGTTTGACACATGTTATTTCATTTTATTATGGAAAATCTCACATAGATGGCCCAAAAAAGCTCGGTACCATGATGCCGTGTATGACACATGTGACAAAAACTTCACTAGTGAAATGTCTGCAAACGTTTGCACAAAAAAATGCCCAATACCATAATGCAGTAAATGACACACGTTATCTCATTTTATTTTGGGAATATCCCACACAATGTATTTAAAAAAAGACGTGTATGACACATGTTATTTCATTTTATTATGGAAAATCTCACATAAATGGCCCAAAAAAGCTCGGTACCATGATGCTGCGTATGACACATGTTATTTCATTTTATTATGGAAAATCTCACGTAAATGGCCCAAAAAAGCTCGGTACCATGATGCCGTGTATGACACATGTTATTTCATTTTATTTTGGAAAATCTCACATAAATGGCCCAAAAAAGATCGGTACCATGATGCTGTAAATCACACATGTGACAATACTATAATACTTCACTAGCGAAATGTCTGCAAACGTTTGCAACAGAGCTCGATGCCATCATGTGCTTGATGTCAAAAACAGAATGTAAGAGCTTCTGTGTGTAAACGCTTCTGTGTGTAAAAGCGTCTGTGTGTATATGCGTCTGTGTGTAAAAGTGTCTGTATGTAAAAGTGTTTGCGTGTAAAAGTGTTTGCGTGTAAAAGTGTCTGTGTGTAAAGGCGTCTGTGTGTCAAAGCCTATGTGTGTAAAAGTGTCTAGTGTCTGTGTGTAAAACCTTCTCTGTGTAAAAGTTTCTGTATGTAAAAGCGTCTGTGTGTAAAAGCGCCTGTGTGTAAAAGTCTCTGTATGTAAAAACTCCTGTGTGTAACAGCTTCTGTGCAAACGCGTCTGTGTGTAAAAGGTTCTGTGTGTGAAAAAACAATACGAAGGATACGATGCAAAGTAGTGTCTTGTACTCTTGTACTTGTAATATATTGTCTTGCAATATAGTGTCTCAATACTAACAGCAGAAGACCCTGTTTCTCTACGCTCTCGGGCCATCCGTCGTCTAGTTTCCACTTCTCAGATTCAGCAGAGGATGCTTGGATGGGATGAACCTGGTTAGGAGAAGTGGATCACCCATGAATTTGAACACGGGGATTTTCGAGGTCCTTGAAATTGCGCAGCCGCTACAAGTTGGGAGAAGACCGTCCAAGTTTGTCGGCATCTGCTGAGCTAAGCCCCAAGAAGCTTCCAGAGGCCGCAGGGGGATGATAGGGCCGACATTTGCACTTGTGCATACTTGTGCCATCTTGTTCCGATGTATCAGAAATTGATATGAAAATCATATTGAAAATTATCCGACACAACGATAGTAAATTGAAAACTTGATCAGTTTCTGAACTATCGCTATGAGGAATCAACATGCACAAACTTAGTGCATTGTCTATGAAGTACCGCAGGTGAAAGCCAAGGGATCGGCTACCTATGATGACAGTGGCAGCGTGTCCAGCTCCTTGAAAGTGACGGCAGAAGATCTGAAGCTTGGAACATCTTGGAACTATTAAGTTTACTTCATTGGTTGATGCACTTTTCAGGTCTCCTAAGTACACTCCATAATAGACTCGAATCTCAAATTGATTCCGTGTGGATACCTGGGTCTTCTCACGGGCAGTAAATTTGCCTTTTCAAACTAATATGCCTGAAGGGGGTGTCGGGCAGAATATCTGTCTGCGGGCGGAATCCAGTTTCAACAACCGTGAACATTGAAATGTTGTATTTTTTGGGAGAATGAATTCTGGCGGAATTGCGCGTGATCCGGGTGGAAACACACGTGATTCAGGCGTAAATGGCCTTAACGATTTTTTTCGAGAACAAAAAGACAAATTCGATGGGCTAACGCCCGGGTGCCGCCGACCCCCCTTTTTTGGGAGGGCGGTGACCGCAGCCATTTTAATTCGGAAATGGCTCAGTATTAGCGAATGAGTAAACAAAAGAAAACACCATCCCGTAAATCTTTTTTAAATTATATATGATTAAACATTTACGGATGGTTTTAGACTATATATTAACAACGATTACAATAAAGATATACAGTATGATTCTAACTATAAATAAACTGCGGAAAGACACCTGAAATCATGGATTGTCATGGAGTTTCTACTTCTACATGACGTATCCATAGTTTGGCAAATCCAAGAGACGGTTTGGCAGGTTTCGGAAGGTTTGAAGGGTTTGAAGGGAGCATCCGGCAGTTGCGGGCCAGGAAAAAAAGGAAAGACTTGGCCTGCCACAGCTGGCAGCTCCAAGCGCCGGTTTGGAAGGTTTCGGAGGGTTTGAAGCTTTAACTCCGGCAGTTTCGGGCCAGTAGAAAAGGAAAGGCGTGGCCTGCCACAGCCCATAGTTTGGCAACTCCAAGAGACGGTTTGGCAGGTTTCGGAATGTTTGGACCAAGACGGCCCCAACGGACTTATAAACCCAAACAGCCTTATAAGCTCAAAGAACAGCCGAACGGACTCATAACTTGTGCCAGCAGACAGCACTGAAGAGAAAATGCATTTTCTTGGCAAGAAAATTTCAACAGACCTATGTTGAAAACTACAACAGATTTTAAGCTGTCAAACCAACAGCTCCTGTTGGTTTATTTCAATAAAACTTGCATTTCAACAGTGAACCTCTAAACCAATAAACCTGTTGAATCTTTTCAATAAGGCGCACTCTGGGAACGGCAAAGGGAAAGAAACAAGTGCAATGTCCAAAGGGTCCAAAGATGCTGATTCTGGTTACAAAGGAAAGGGTCATGAGCATGGTGCAGATCAACAAGTTGAGACCGACAGCAGAGCCAAAGGCAAGACCAAAGCTGGAGGCAAAGATTGCGGCAAGGGTGATGCAAATCAACAAGCTGAGTCCGATAGCAGAGCCAAAGGCAAGACCAAAGCTGGAGGGAAGGACTACGGCAAGGGTGATGCAACTTCTACAATGGGTTCTGCGGATCGACAAGTTGAGACCGACAGCAGCGCCAAAGGCAAGACCAACGCTGGAGGCAAAGCCTGCGGCAAGGGCGATGCAAATCAACAAGCTGAGTCCGATAGCAGAGCCAAAGGCAAGACCAAAGCTGGAGGGAAGGACTACGGCAAGTACTACAAAGGAAAGAAGGGAAAGTCCAAGGATGATGATGGGAAGACTGGGATGAAAGGCAACCGAAAAGCTGACCAGGGCGCTGAGGCCATATGGTTTCATCACAAGTTGTTTTTATTGATGATGACGACAATGATGATTTATTGTTTTCCTTTTCCTATAGGCCTCCAAGAGAAATTTTGTCGAAAGCTATGCCAGTTTCCAAACAGCCAGTCATTTTGCCAAAAGCTATGCCCATCTCTTACGGATCTTGATCATTCCAAAAAAGACCGCTCCAGACTTCGCCTGGAGAAGAGCACCATGGAGACGCATCGATAGAAACTCCTCAGTCAAAGAGGCGAACAGCCGATGAGGAGAGCTTCCGTTGACATTGAACCGCATCAAGAACCTAAAAAATTCTAGGTGGACCGATGCCACAGTGCTGTGCAGGACGGAAACATGGCCGCTACTCCGCAGCTCTAGCTTGTTTCCAGGGGTTGATGTTATAGAGGTTTAATAAGTTATATATCAATACCAACTTACTTCGCAAATTGGCCTCCACAAGTTCAATCTGGTAATGCCAAGTTAACCTGATAGCCAAGTGTCATTCCGTTCCGTGCCAGGTCTCCCGCTTTCCAGTTCGAAGGGATCGCTCCTGAGATCGGTTTCTATGCTGTCAAATGGTGAAGGCCCAGTGGAAATGAGTCCACTCGCTGAAAGAACTCGATCAGATGGAAAGATCAAAAGGGTTTCAGACTCAACACTTTTCAGACATTTCCGAATTAAATAAACTTTGCTAGCCAGCCCATGAGGTGGAACTGTTTTCAGGATATATCATATATCTTAACCATTCTTTGATCTTTCTAAGGTGAAGCTACTTAGTCCTGAGATGCGTGAACAAATTCAAGCCCAATCCTGGACGCTGTTGCTAGCTGATAGAAAAATCGACTATCACACCTCACAACACAACAATTGATTCTTGTGGAGGCTTTGACTGATGAATCCCAACTACCACAAGATGAACTGAAACGTGAACGGGAAACACTTCGACGGCGTGTTGCCAACCCTCAAGGCCAGCCCCAGGAAATGCGAGACCAAGTGAAATTTCTTGTTTAAGATGTGTTGGTGGATTGCCTCACATGCAGGTCTCCGGCCTGGTATTGTGGAAACATATCACGCAGCACATTCCAGCCAAGAAAGACATGGGGCTTATCAAGTGATTTTCCCAAGCCCACTACTTCAAACCGTGTCGCTGACTCAGGTTCGCCATACTCAAGAGCTTTCTCCTTGACCGAGACATGAAGGATTTGGTCATTGAATCACACTACAAAGAGTTGGCCACACAGAAGGACAAGACAACATGGGCCGAAGTTCCTCTAGACGAACTGGAGCTGGAGTATGCTACTGAAGAACGTCGAAAATGGCTCCATGAGAAAGTGGTACAATGTTGGGTTCCTTAGCGTTGTTTAGCAGTTGCTTGGTTGCTCTTGGTGTCTTTTTTGTTGCTAAGTTAAATGCGTGTGATGTGTTCAAGTGTGCATCCAGTCTGTCACTGAAACTTTTCACCACCATCATTGATGCCAAGGTATTAAGCTGGTTGACAGTGTGACCAGTTTTATTTTATTATGGACGGATCCAAGACTGGGGTTCAAGAACCCTTTGACTTGTCCAAGGCTCAGCATGCCCTTGGGATTCATGGAGTTTTTCGTTGATTCATGACGCGGTGAAAATGAATTGTTGCTGCAGCAGTGGCCCACTTCACGACATGTATGGCACAGATCCATGGAATTATTTAATGAAACTTCACGTTTAATGGCACTTTCACGTTTAATGTGTGTGTGTTTGGGTTCTACAATGAGCCAATGGTTTTATTACATTAACAATACGTATGTATAACATATCTATTGGTTTTGTCTTTCATGTGAATTTGGTTGAGAAGATGGCAAAATAATTCCAAATTAATGGAAACAACCAAAAATCATGGATGTACTATTATTGACCAAGTAACAATGACAGTAGACTCATGGCTTCTTAGAATGTAAAGGTTTTGGTTAATGTAAAAAATGGGGTCACTGGGTCATTCTAGAACCATTGGGTCATTCTGGAATCCAAGAGTGCAACCACACTTGGCTCCTTTGTTTTTTTGCCCAGCCCACCTAAACTGAAGATTGTCATGACATGAACCACCAAGAGCTACCAAGCAACAGCTAAACAACGCCAAGGTTCTCAAGTTGTGATCATTTACACTGCACAACATGCCTTGCATGTTACTACATAATAAAATATTTCATTTGTATATATAATATATGTTTACATCTAAAGATATATGTATATATATATATATTATAACTTTGTGATATCCAAAAATATTTACATCAAAACAATATTTTATATAGTAAAAAGATATCGTACTTAGTATTCAAACCAATCTTTAAAGATATTGTATTTAACATTGATTTAATGCTGCATACAATATTAATAGAGCACATAATATTGTAATATAAAGTTAGAAAATATGTTTTAAAAGCCACTTACATTACAATATGTTATTTATTATATATATATTTAGGATCTGATATATATATATATTGTAATTCAATATTTTACATATATATATATATACATAAAGTGGATCTGATATATTTAAATATTATAATATATTATATTTTTACATATATATATAAATATTCTTTTCTTTTATAATACAATACAATATAATATATTTTCATATTTTATGATATGATTTAAAATAATATTATATAAATATAAAAGAACATAACGTAATATAACATCATGTGATATTTTACAATATAAAACAATATACTGCAATATATTATTTTATAATATAAAATAACATAGTATAATAAAATATCATGCAAAAAAAATACAATATATAATAACATACACATATATATATATATATAATTTGGTATACCATTTATATGTACGTAAGTTGAATGATACATGTGCTGCTTTCTGCAACTGAAACTTTTTTGAGGCCAGACCGGACGACCTCACCCGCAGGACATTACTGGTGATCAAGTGCTACCTATCAGAACACATGTATGCATGCATGTCAGGACCCTGAGAACCCCAGGCGCCGCTTGCACAAGATTTTCAAATCTGTGGAGAACACCAGCTCCATACTCAGCTTGATACCAATGGTTCTCATTTGAAAAAACCTAGCTAGTTGATATGACACGTAGGGCCTCATCCACCTTTCAGTCAAGGTGCTGAGCTCAAGGAGGTTGGCACCACAATGAAGGCAACGGTCAGAATCCAAGCCAATAAGGCACTCAGGCAAACCTTGGCTTCAAAGCTGGACCAAGCGGCCGCCAGTTTTGAGAGTGGCCCTGGAGTCAGTGCTTGCTCCGAACCAAAAGCGAAAGCTAGGGTGAAGAAAGAAAAGCAACTTAAGGCCAC